TAATATTGACCTTGAAAAAATTATATCCATTTTACCATTCTTCATTGGACATAAAAAATTTTTACCTTAAAAGTCTTGGGCCTTTTGACGTACCCGTAATAATTTTACCTTACCAATAATGGTGACATTTTTCACGTTTTTTACCCTTGGTTTGCCTGGGACCTCAATTAGAAGTTTCCGGGATCCTGCCACTGAACTTTTTATTGGCCGTGTAGATTCTTTAATTACTCTAAAAATGGAAATGTAAACCAAAAAAAAAACAAAATCGTAATTTTCTAGTTACGACTGTCACGTTACCATGGCCTCAAAGTTGCGCAAGTTTACTTGTTAATATTAACCCCAAAATTGACGTGTTACACGCGATTTATATATATATATTAAAAAATGAACGAATTGGAAGAGTTGATTTTATATTTTTTTTATGTTGCGTAATAACTCTTTAAAATCATCGAAAACAAAAATAATAATAAATTTTTTTATAGCTGCTGCGTAAAAATTCTTTAATCATTAAAATCATTGATTAATCTTTTTTTTAAAGGAAATTCCTCAATCAATTATCGACTCCGAGGTCACGGGTCCTCGAAATTTAGATTCTCAAAATTGTCATTGTGGCGCAGAATATTCGGCGACTAAGTGACAATGAATTGGAGGACCCCGGAAACTTCTAATAGAGGACCCAGGGTAAATTTAATAATATTAATAGTAAAGGCACGAATATCATTACCAGAAATATAAAATATTTCATCTTATTTGTTAATAATAATAAAATTTAAAGCCTGGTAATATGACAGTGATTAAGGTATGTTAATAGAGCAGAAAGTTTTTAAATTATCACATGTGCTTATTTTAGAGCAATTCAGACGAATCACACCTCTTCGCTTTAATTTTGCCCTGCGAAACTTCTAATGCATTGGGAGGAATAGACGAGAGCAATGAGTGAGTATCATATGATTCAAATTGTCATACCGATTTATTATTTGTTAAATTCATTTACCCTCTTTTTTTTATATATGATATTTTTCAAATTTACCCCGATTTTCTTACTCTTAC